CCGAAGTGATATTTTTATAGCTATCTAACGAATGCTTTAAAATAAAGGAATATAACGGAAATAATGAAAGTTATGTCCTAAATACAATCCTCTGCCTGAAGGATTGCCAAGTTTTTCAGTTCATAAGAAGTTTCGTGTTTCAACTGAGACATATTTCAAATGTCAAGTAATAATGGCATGCTCACATGACTGTAAGCATTACAAATAAAGGAACAAATTTGCTCACAACATATGTTGCCAGTAACAATTTTGTCCCAGAAGTAAAACAGGCGAAATGTTAGGTATGCCCACATCCTGTGAAAAGACATTTGATTCCAAAGCTTTATATCAGATTTGAATTTCCATCAATGATATATTCATTCTTGAAAAACTTTTTAACAGGATAAAATAAACAGTGAATCTGCAAGCACTTTTCAATAATGGAAATAGTTTTACCCAAGAAATACTATTTTAAACTTATATTTATGATATTTAGTAACCAATCTTCTGATCAAGCTATCTCTATAAATCTACTGTTAGGACACTCAAGAACACTTCTCAATGCTAGTAATGCATAGGACTTTTTTAATATTTTACTTTACTCATCTCTTAGGCATATATTATAAATGTCAGAGCCAACAAACTACTTCTGCCTACAGCCTGTATTTGTAAATAAAGTTTTATTGGAACACAACCACGCCTATTTATTTACATATTGTCTATGTCTGCTTTCCCACTTCAAGAGCAGAGTTGTGTAGATGAACTAGAAACCGTATGCCCTGCAAAACCAAAAATATTTATTATGTAGCCATTTACAGGAAAAGTTTGCTGACAAGGTGACAGTTTGATGCTCCCCTTTGCACCCTACACACTACGGCTCACCTTCATGCCAACTTGTTTTCCACTTAAAAAATGAGAAAAATTAGACTTTCACTTAATAGTAATGTACTATTTCCCCACGGGGTAATACTTAGAAAAAAACCCTCAAATGTTCCTTAGAGTAGAAGGGGAGCTTAACCTCAATGCGGTTATAAAATTTCCCTGTGTTCACAAGTCAGACCAAGGACTATAAACACCACTTCCTTGCAATTCAATTGCCTTCCCACCCCACCCCAACCACCAATGTTACAGCTAAGATCTACCTGGTATATTTCTACTTGGTATATTCACTTCTATTACATTTTCAGGGGAGAATCTCACACGATGGTACTCGCGAATATCAAATACCCTTTTCAAGTGGATAAACCGAGCAACAGAGACAGAAATTTCCCGTGGCTCTTGTTTTGGTCTGCTCAGCCCTCGTTATCTTCTTCTTGATACGTAGCCCACTCCCATTGCCTCAGGGTCAGGAATGGGATTGTGACTTAGGTTGGACTGATGTCCAAAGTAATTAGTCCAAGAGGAAGGAAATGCCCTAAGCCAGACAAATCACAGTTTTTTCCTGCATAATCTGGAATTTGAGAAGGAAGTAGTTTTTTCAACTTTTTGATCTCAGAACTATAATTGAAGCTGAAAATTTCATTAGCCATTATTAAATTAATTAAACAAGGTGGCCATTAGACCAAGGTGGCTGCAGTGCCCAGCAGCCAACATAAGTAATTCAAAATCTAAGCCTATAAATGCCTCAAGTTTACCAAATGGAAACCTAAGGACAACCAATCACAGACAGCCAACTAGGCTTTAAGCTATAGTCAACCAATAATTGTCTTACTTTGCTCTTTCCTGTTCTCTAAAAATTCTCTTCCCTAGCTCCCACTGAAGGAGCACTCCTAACCACGGTTTGGCATTGCCCAATTCAAATCGACTTTTGCTCAAATAAACTCTTAATATTTTTAATATGCCTCAGGTTATCTTTCAATAGCATATTTCCAGCTGTGGTTCCAAGTGGCCCAGAAAAAAAATCAAGCCAAAGGGGAAGGAGAGAAGAGAATGAGAAAGAGAATCCCGACAAGGCCCTAGGTGCTTGATTCCAGTCACCCCTAAAGACACCTCACTCCTGCCCTTCCTATAATTGAGATAGAACAGCCAAGAAACGTCCGTCTTTCCCTTCAAGCAGCGCAAGCTGTATCACTTGCAACCAAGACTCCTGACTGACAGGGCCAGACAGTCTCCAGGGAAGGCAGCCAACGCCACCAATGTGGTGGATATCGATACCGCTACATCTTAAGGGCAGCAATGACAACAAAATTTGAAATAGCAACCCTGTTTTATTGTAGCTTTCCCTCTCTTCCTTTCTAGTGGTTTAGAAAACAAAAAAAAAGTTTGGAAAAAAGGAGGAAAAATATTAGCACAACAACAATTCTTAGCCCAATGGGCCATGCGGTAATTTAATCCACTATGCACTCTTCCAAGCTGGTTGACTATCACACAGCCCTTCTCCGCATTTACTTTTCCTATTCTTTCTGTCTCTGCTTCACTTCTCATAAAATTTTTATGTCCAAAATTTTAAAAAGTAATTTACATAAGACCTACTATAAACATTTAGCTTGAGTATCTAATTCATTTAGGCACCATTAGATATAAGAGAGTAAAACCTTCTCCAGCCTTGAGTAAGACAAAACTGTAAAGTGAGGCAAAATGTAATATACATAAGAACCAAACTTTTTTTTTTTAACTTGGCTGACCCTCCCTGCTGTGTGCATCTAGTGTTTTGCCTCTGAGAATAGAACTTATTAGCAACCCTAAAGTAAAAAAGACAGGATATTTTTCAACAAGGGCCGCTGCTTTGCCAAACATCCCAGAGTTTGTCTCCAAGGACTTGAAAAGAAAGGAAAGAATGAAGAACGGAAACCATAAAGCATGCAGCAGGGCTATCATCTAATTACTGCATGAATGGCACAGTTGTTTTGTCTGATTGCACCAAGCTAGTTATCCACTGCTAGCTTCATTGACAAAAAGGGAATCTACACAAATTATAGGGAAATTCAAGCACTAAAGGAATGTTTTGGTTCAGAGGTTTGCAATGACTATTGGCTTCGGTTTTTGGCAAAGTCTGTCTGTGCTGTATGAACTCGGCTGTGCTGGGTCAGCCTGAAGCATTCCCAAAAGCCTGGAAGAGGACAGACTTCCTTGTCATCTGTATCCCATCAATAAATTAAAGTGATGTTCTCCAGCTCGTGTTTGTTTCTTGGCAGGCTAATCTACAATCAGAAAAAGAAAAGCCTTTCATTTGTGGACTCCAGCTAAAGGAAGGAAGCTTTTGTATGCGGATTCACCGGAGACCAAAATATTAAAAAGTGGAAGAGGAAAACCATATGTTGCAGCTCTCCTAAGCGAGCTGCTTAAAGTTCTGGTTAAGGAAATGCTTGAGCTCATTATACAGAAAAGGAAATCTTTTGCTATGAGAAGAGGGTATGCTAATAGCAACACTGATGACTCTGAATGCTACAAACACTGACAATTTAAGTAATGCTCCATTTTCTCCTAGTTTTTATATCGGCAAAACCTAAAAATTAGATATTTCAAAGAAACTTGAACTGATGATACATTGCAGCAATAATGCTTTAAGATTTGCAGTTCTTTTAAGAAGAAAGTGAGGAATCCAATGGACTCAAAGTACAGGATAATATTCCCAAGCTCACAGCTCCCTTTCTCGCAGATAGTTGTAGCAAAGCTAGTTGATATTTTATAGCTGCAGCAATCAAATCCAGATTAAAGTGGGAGTGGGAAAAATCACTGCACTGATTATCTGAACCCTATTGCCTAGCGTATTAAATACTGTAATGTTAAGAACTCTTCGTATCTCTCTTGGTTCTCCAGGAGTTAACCTTGCCCTTGTATCATTTGTGGACAAGTACACTGATGAGGATCGAGTTGGCATGGTCCTTCAACTTTCTGTAAGAAAGTCTAGGGATCCCTTTTAGCTTAACTATGTTTGTGTTTGGTTTCCTTATTTATCTCTTTGAAGCAGCCAAGCAAGACATCCTCCTTTAACACCCATACCCTTTAAAGAATATGACTCTGGCACAATTTTTCAATATTTTATGACTTCATGTACCACCAGTTCCGCTTCTTATAGAAGGGAACTGATTTTGTTTTTCTGTTGTGGTGGCGTCACTTATAAAGACTAGCAGCAGATCAAATGCAAGGGGTCTGATTGGTAGGAATGCTTGATGAAAACTTGATAGAGGAGGTTCGTCAGACAGACGTGGATCTGGCTTTGGTTACTCAGCAGAGAACTGAATGTGCACTTATTTAGCTATCTAAGGCAAAGAGGACTAAATCAACAAGTCAGGAGATTTTGTCCCTAGTTCTGACCTTATCAAGTGGTGAACAACACAGTCTCCAGAGCCAGACCACCCGGCTTTGAATCCTGGCTCTGCCACTTAGCAGCTGTGTGACTTGGGCCATTTACTTCACCCCTCTGAGGCTCAGCTTCCTCATCTTAACATCAGGATAAACAATAATACTCACCTCATAGGGTTGTAACGTATCTGGCACATAATAACCACTATACAGTTGTTTGTTCAATAAAATAAATTATTCTGTCACTGACAACAAAGACCAAATCTTAGCCTTTCAAGGTTCAGTTTGTTTGTAAAAAAAAAAAAAGAGAGATAATAACTGGTGTTTCTTACATCATAGACGTCTCCACTGAGTTAATTATCTTGTCCTTTGCCCCATCCTGCTTCTAAATACAGGAAATACGGGCATGAAGCAATGGCACTCAATGTGGAATTTAAAGTGGTTGTAACAAAATCCTATCAGGAACTGCTTCAGACTGTGGACAGTTGAGTACTACTTCCCACTGAAGGGAGGTTTGTACCTGACTAAAAGAAAAACTTCGTTGGAAGACCAAAGAAGCTTTCTCTCTAAATGCCCGGAAGATACATCATTAGCCTCTCCTCTGGCAAATCAAGCAGAGGGGACAATGAAGAGCATTTCAAAGAGAATCTCTTATAGACACTAACATCAGATCAAGTGTGAGGAGTGGGGTTTGTGACTTCAGGCAGATGACTTCCTTTTGAAAGAAAATTGCTTTCTAATAAAAGAAATCATTGGTTTAGTTTTTTAAAAATTACCTTTCATCGCAATCTTCTGCTATTGGACATTTGGACAGCAATGAAGAGTTATTCTTCTTAGGAAATCTCCCTAAATAAGAAATAAACATATTTAATTTTTCTGCTAAACTCGTCTTTCTCCTGAACCTCAAATTCAAAAGAATTCTTAAAATATCTTCCAATTCAACCCATTTGAAACTCGACCCCCACAATAAGGCAAGTGCCCAGTATATGGTCCTTCCTCTAGAAATAGCAAACCATTTCATTTCTGGACAGCTCTGATTGTTATAAAAATCTTTCACACCATTAATAGTTAAAAATTTGGCAAAAAAACAAAATGTAGAGATATACCTCACATTATGCACAAAAATATTTTCTGTTGGATCAATGCGTATATTGCCTTTTATAAATCTAATAAAATAATAGAAAACTAAAAGAGAAATTGATATTTACTGGGTCTTAGGAAAAGTGATGACTTTTTTTTTTTTTTGGAGGAAGCTTAGCCCTGAGCTAACATGTGCTGCCAATCCTCCTCTTTTTACTGAGGAAGGCTGGCCCTGAGCTAACATCCGTGCCCATCTTCCTCTGCTTTATATGTGGGACGCCTACCACAGCATGGCTTGACAAGTGGTGCCATGTCCTCATCCGGGATCTGAACCAGCAAACCCCAGGCTGCCGAAGTGGAACGTGCGCACTTAACCGCTGCACCACTGGGCCCACCCGGAAAAGTGATGACTTTTAAAGGTTAAAATGTAATAGAAACAACAAAATAAAATAACAGACAACTACACAGAAACTTAAACTTTTTAGGGAACAACCAAAACTAAAATGAAAAGGCAGTTAATTGACCAAAAATATGGATGAGCAATTAACATAAAAGGAAATATAATGAGTAAGTAAATAAAATATTAAAGTCTTCACCAGTGACAAAAAATGCAATATTTTAAAACAATAAGATATCATGTTATAACTAATAATAATTTTTACCTTTAAAATTATATAATAGGTTTTGATTAGTAATAATTATTAATTATCACCTTTAAAATTAGGTAATGCAATGCTGACAAAATATACACACACAGTGTTGTTGGCAGCATAAATTATATAATCCTTTGGAGAGCAATTTGCCAATACACAGTAAAAACAATTATATTCATTATTCTACCAAATAACTCCTCCTTGTGGGAATTTCGTTCTATGTAAAAAATCGAGAGAAAAAAGGACCTATCTGTATTGATATACTCATAGTAGTATTATGCAAAAATGGTAAAATATTAAAAACTACTTAGTGTCCAATCTTATATCCCCTCAAAAGAATACTTGAAAGCCATTTTAGAAAGATGAGTATGGGGACTATGTAGCAATATTTTAAAAATGCTTATGTTACTGATGAAATGAAAAACAGCTAATTTAAAATTGCAGCCACATAAAAAATATAAATGTACAAAAAATGATAAGAGGAAATGATTAAAATATTCCAATAACTGCATTAAGGTGATGGGATTATTGGTGATTGTTTTCTTCTTCCTTTAAATTTCTTTGCTACTGTTACATGATTTTTGGTAATACTGAATAGAAAGCCATCCCCCTAGCTGATGATAGTCAGGATCTCTACCTGGTGGAGACGGATTGAGGATGGGAAGATGTGGAGGTGGGAGACAGAGACCCGCCCCTTGTTCTTACTATCCCTGAGGGCAGTCCTAATATTTCTCTACCTATGGTTTGCATGTGCATGCCAGTAAATTGTCCATATTTGTCCTTAAGCTACTTTCTGTGCCTTGCCTCCAAGCAATTGATTACCATAAATGCTCCCAACCTAAATATCGGGTTCATGGTTCTCCAATAATAATGCCTCTTGTCTTTACCCCTTTCTCTGATTACTACGCTTCTTCTAGGTCCTTATCTCCTTAGCTCTGAATTAGGACAGTTGCCTCTCCACCTATCTCCACGTCTTTGATCGTTCCCCATCTTTGCTCTGCATATTACCACCAGTTTTATTGTCCAAAAGCAATCTTCATTATTACTTCCTGCCAAAACACTTTAAAATGTCTCCCATTTACCCACTAAGTTAGGTCTGAACTTTTCCATCAAGTCTTTTCATAGAAGACCAACATTCCATAAAGCCTGTCAGTATTTTCCAACCCTGACCATGAAAACTTCTCTCTAGTTAGGTTTGTCTTCTTAATGAACTCTACTTCAACTCCTGATGATCTCTCTTACACACACACACACACACACACACACACACTTACACTCAATTTTTACTCTGTCTTTTTACCCTTGTCCTTGCCTGAAATACCCTCTTCTCTCCTCTCTGTGTGCCTTGGTCTTTTTTTTCCTTATTACCTTGGTCTGACTCTTTTATGAATTCCTACATCATCTTTAATTAGCACGTTTTTATATACTGTCATCTTTTTGGAAATTAAAACTCATTTTCTCTATTTCATAAATAGCTCTTAGAATCTCATATTAGCCTACAAACCTTACAGGTGAATAAATTATAGTTTTATAGAGAGTGCTGGATTCTGGTAGTTTGGAGTCATATTATATACACATTAGAAACCACAAGAAAAAGAGAGAGTATTTCTTTTTTGCTGAAGTTCAGGATCTTAAAAACTAAGGTAAACTTCTGGAACTTTTCCAGTCAGTTTTTAGTACTCTCCTTTAACATTCTGGAGATCATCTCTTTAGAAACTCACTGTTTACTTGTCGCTTATGTCTCCCTCCCTACCACTGAAGCCACCCACTCAAGTCTGCCCTCTGAAAATTCCTAATTTTTCAGGTCTGAGTTGTTACTGGGAAAGCAATCAGGTCCGATATGCAAAATAAATTTATTTCACATCAAAATACTTTCCACCTGCCGAAATCTCTACATCAATGAAGGGTACCACTCATTTATTCCGGCCAGACATCTAGGACTTATCTTTGCTCTTCCAGCTCCCTCATCTCTCTTATGCAATTGGTCAAGATCTACAGAAATTAACTAATCTCTCTTTTATACCTGAACTATACTCAAATATCAGCAAAATAACATAAAAGAGGAGTCTGCAGAAAAATTTAGTACTAAAATAACACTATTACAGAGCTAAAATAATTAGAAACAGAAATAGAATAAGCATACTAAAATATAATTTCCAACATTAAGGAAAGTTCTGAAAAAACAATCATGAATGAATACAATAAAACAAACAGATCAAAGCAATTAGAGAAAAGAACATAAATACTAATGATAAAGACCTTCCAACATCAGGCTAACTGGAATTTCTGTAATAGAAAACCCAGCTGTTGAATTTTTGGAGAGAAACCTGTTTAATCATTCCCATCTGAAAAAATTCAGAAATAATGTAGGTCAGTGAGAAAGAATCAAAACATGACCAAGATTGTTGATAAAGGCTAAGTATGTAGCTTATTTGTGCAGCTAAATAGACCTGCTATCTGAATCACAGTATTTGGATGCTTACCTTATCCATTAGGCAATGCTGATCAGGGCAGACCTTTTCACCTGAGAGATGAGAAGGTAGGGTACCTAAGCAAGTGGAGCACGGCGAAGCAGAGGTGAACGGACTGCTCCCTGAAGGCTGCACACTCCCATGAGGAAGAGGGGTAGCACTAACTTCAGCATCCACAATTTATTTTTCCAAAAGTATCAATGATAAATCATGCTAAGTTCTCGGGATAGAGTGAGTGAAGAGGTGGACAGAGACTATGAGTTACACTAATTGAACACACTTTATAAGAGGGCTGGGGCCCACTCTCAGAGAAAGGGCTCTCAAAATGTCTATCTAGTGGGATTTGAGAATTCCTCTACTGTGTGTCTTCCAGTGGTCCCCTTTCTGAGTGGGGAAGTTTATTGCAGTTACCCTATCCCAATACCAGCATTGTATATTGGACATGTAAAGAAGAGAAAATTTATTACTTTAACCTTAAAATCTCTGAACCAAAAATCACCATTTCTAGACCTGCTGTAGAGACTATGACACATCACTCGATATTCTAGACTTTGCATTTGGTGTCATTACCTTATGCGGCTTTTTGGTTGTTTTCCTTGGGGTGAGAGTAAGTGTATTTTGCACATAAAAAGGAAACTAAATCAAATATTTTGTCTCATAGAACAACTGTGGAAGATATTAGAATATGTTCTGCTTCCCCTCTCCTTCCAGGCAAACAGACGGATTGTATTTCCTTCTCCAATGTGACTTGCTTAGACCAGTAAAATGAGAACGGAAGTGCCATATGTTTCCTCCATGTGGCAGCTTTAAAAGCCAGTATGCAATTTACCACATTCCCCCATTTATTTTTTTGCCTTGGTGATTATGGAAGCATGTGTTGAAATGAAGTATATATTAGCCTATGTCCCTGAAAGATTGCAATGAGCAGAGGCCCTACACCCTCTAGGACATGTAGCAGGTGAAGGAAATAAAACTGTGTGTGCTGTGCAAGAGCCACTGAGATTTGGGGGTTGTTTGTTACTGCGACATAATCTAGCACATCCTGACGTCTATGCTGCTTTCTCACAAAGATCAGAAATTTGCAGTGGAGGCAGCCCAAGTCATCTGGTCTTATTCATGGTGCCTTTTTTTCCCTTCAAGTACACTCAAAATCTATTGATTTTTGTTCACCCCCTGTGGAACTTAGTATGGATTCTATTTGGTGAGATAACATCCACATATTTTGTGACCAGGCATTTTCAGCCTTATCCCTTACTGGGTCTTGTCTTTGTTATAGAATGGCTTAGGCATTTTTTAAAAAGCCTCCTAATTAAGTTTTTATCTTGTCTCCATACTTAACTGGAAAAATCTTCCTTAACAAATTCCTAATCTGAAGCAGCTATTGATATTTCTTAGGACTAAACCCTCAGGGTCCTAGCAAAGAACAGTATCCATGCAGTGTTCCAGGTCTTGAGAAGCATTTCTGTCTCCAATATCTTTTTCTCAAGTATATTTTTTCCCCTCTAGTCCTCTCAGGAAGATTGAGCTGAATTTGTATCAGTCTCTCCAGCACTGACTACTTGGGCCTGAGACTAAGAATATAAAGCCAAATCTCAGATGCCTCACAATTCATGAGAAACAATTGCAGGGGTAGAAAGATGGACAAAAATGCTTAAAAGGCCTCTAAAGAACCTCTTTTCTATATTTTTAGAACTTTGATTCATGTATCAGTTAGTTATTGCTGTGTAACAAATCTTCCTAAAACTTAGAGGCTTAAGACAACACTATTTATTATTTAAGAGTCTACATATCAGTGGAACTGTTCTGTTGGCCTGGGCTGGGTTTAGCTGCTCTCACTTGGGCTCCTCCATAGGTTTGTGGTCAGCTGAAGGAGTAGGCCAGGGGCCAGGGTTTCTAAGCTAGCATCATTGAGATGACTCATTTCTGCTTCATGTGGTCTCTTATCCTTCAGCAAATGACACACAGGTTTGTTTTCATGACAATGGCAGGATCCTAAGAGAGTAAGCAGAATCACTCAAGCACTTTTACAAACCTCTGCTTGTATCACGTCTGCTACTATTCCATTGGCTGAAGAAAGTCATGCAAGCAAGCCCAGA